TGTTTATATATATATATATATATATATATATATATATATATATATATGCGCATCATACACCACGTGTCTATGTGTATGTGTAAGTATTACATTTATATATGTGCCTATATACATATGCTCCATATACTCCACGTTGGCATGTGGCGTTTATATATGTGTGTATATAATGCAAGCAGGTAAATAAGTCGTAACGAACGTGTTCACAAGACATTGCCATGGGAAATCAGTATCGATTGAAAACTCGAGAATGGTCCTGACGTGTCGTATCGTACCTAGTGTCCTGCAGATCTAGCGCGCGTTCGTAGGCTTGACATCATCTGGTAGCTTTCGAACAAGCGGGTGTATTTTGCCCCGGAGCTCGAATCCTGTATCCGCTTGTTTCATTTGCAATAGCTTTTGTCTTATTTCTCCAATAAATAACCATCTGACCTTACATGAATATCGCAGTGTTTTCAAAGTAGTTTAAAATGTGACATTTCGATATTTGCGCAATCTTTTCGAGTGTCTTCCTGTTACTAACTTTCCTTAGAAAATAGTTAACCTTGAACTGTTTATTTCGTAGTGTATGTTTTTAAGTATTTTCAATATCTATCTGTCCGAGAACTGCCGATGTGTGCCGCTTCTTTCGATGACGTCATTTATTGTAATTAGTGACATTGTTTCCCTTCCTTTAAAGTTCTATGCAAAGTCTTATAAGTCCAGTAAAGTGAGTTGTGGCTGTTGGAACTTATTGTTTTACAGGTCCCACACCTATTCGTTCGTTCGTAATTTGCTGTATTGTTCGTTCAGGATTTACCAAAGTGCCAAACTGGCAGGAGGGACAAGTATGGAACAAATTAGGTCTCTTCCTCCCCAGGATGAGCAGGATGTCATTTGTCATCTCATGAACTTCAGTCAGTTCTCTTCTCATTCTATAGTAGCTTTCGGAACCAAAGCAAGTTAGATACCTCTGCAACGTGCGGTCGATCTGTGGTAATGTCTCGTTCGTAAATGTGTTTCAAACCCCGGTGTTCACTTTTTTACTTACTACTTATTACAATTTCTTTCCTTTCTTTTACGGCAGGGTATTATGTGTGATACAACCACAGTGATGCTAAGATATCCGCAAAACTGTGGACCGCAAGTGTCTGCGGTGGGGATCGACCACGCCATTAGGTTACCAAACTCAACCTTTCCGGGAGCTAAGGCGTTCACCACCACACCATGCGGATACCTCGTTTTTTGTCTCTTATGTTTTATATTGTCTTTAAAACCTTAGATAATCTTAAGACTGGCCTTGAGTTCATCCAAGGGAGAGTTAAAAGAACATGTTTAGTGTAATGTTTCCTCATTGATCTATGTTTTTTCACTTCTGAAGATTGTTTAATTTCGAAAAAGGTGAACAGTCCAGTCCGCACTTTTTTTTCTGTTTTCTTGCGAACTTTTCTATGGGCTCACGTAGTTTTAAAGTTTTTCTAGTAAAAACTCCGGCTTCGAGTGATGCCGATATCAAGAAGAAAGAAGAGTCTATAATGGAACTTGGCCGCCTTCTCATGAGGAATAAACAAACTCAGGAACTAAGAAGAGTTCGTTTACCTTTCAAAAGTTTTTATTTGCTAAGTAATCTTCTTTTTGTCAAAAAGTATTTTGCACTAGTATTGCTTTTACAGTCGTCTTACAGATGATTGTGGAGACTCATCCGTTCTTGGCGTCACTGGGAATAGCAAAGGCTGCAAAATTACTTCGGAATCTGGTGGATCTCTGTCTCATGATTGATGACCAAGATGAGAACATAAAGGTTTTCTTGGATTTAAATGCTCTTACTAGTTTGGGCATTCTTAAGTGCGAACAGTAACAGTTTTTGTCTAACGAGAACGTGATAGTTTGCGTTGCAACCACTTCAGATCGAACTGGTACGTGAATGCATCCAGTGGGCCGTCGATCATAATCGAACATATCTTCGTCAGACACTTGAAGCTCGCCTGATTCGGTTGTTCAACGATCTTTGCCGACATACACAGGCCCTTTCACTTGGCAAGCGCAATTTATTTATCCAGTTTTTTTGTTCTAGGTTTACAATAACAAATATTTTAATTCGTTTTGCTTTAGTTCACTTTTACTTCATTGTGGAACCAATTTCCTTCCGCTCTGCTGTTTCCTAATTTTTATTTCGATATAACGTAATCCACTCTTCGAGAAGCAGTAGAATTAATCAGCAATAGCAGCCACGCAGTTTTCGATCTAGTTGTTTCGGTGAATACACTAAGCAATATATATGTAGGTAAGAAGTTTTTTAGCTGCTGATCTAATTCGTGAACTGAAAAAGCTGGACGACAAAGATGTGCTGATGCAAGTGGAATTGGAAGAGAGCAAGGCATTTTATCATCTTCGGAGCATCGAGAAAGCTCGAACCTCCTTAACCGCAGCACGGTCCATTGCAAATTCCATGTATGTGCCACCTAAGATGCAGGCGAGTGTCTTTTTTTCTTACACGATATCTGATGAGAGTTGCTTTCAGTTGAAGCTTGACACAGGCTTGAAACGTCCGACCGACGTCAATTACTACAAATATGACTATCTCTACACTCACTTGTATTAGTATGCAAAAGCTTCTCATTTTAGTTCTTTGTATTCAGCCGCTATCTTATCCACACATATGTATCATTTGTGGACCAACAAAATCCTGTTACAATGTTAACTTTTTAAATTCGTCGTTTTCTCTTTCAGCAATCGCGAGGTTGTCAAGCATCATACGTTTACTTCCATAAAATAATACACATGCAACACAACCGTGGCTAACGTTTGGGCAGTATCGCTTTCTTCAGAGCCTGGAAGGGTACATTAGTACGCAACTAACTAGGTTAAATGCTTCAATAACACTTACAGAAAATGAGGATCTAAATGGCAATCACGTGGTCAACAGCTTCTCGAAAAACCCACTGCTATTTTACGTGCTTTCCACTGAGGAAAGCCGCTGATCAGAGTCGCATATGGCTGGCGATTGCAGCTCCCCACATCAACGATCGATGCGAAGGTAGAGCGAGATCACGTGTAATCTCGAGGCATTCCTCCCTTCTATTCATTCTAGGGTTTTCAGCGTTTATCTAAAAAGCCTCAAGAACCTTGCGCGTAGGTGTTTTGGCATCCTGTTCTAGGATAGTGACCTTTATATCAAAATCGTCTCCGCTATGCTTTTGTATCCTATGCGTCTCTAGTGGAGTACTTAGTCTTGCTTTTCGTTCGTTATCTAGGTGTTTTTTGAAGAAGGCGATACTGCCGAAACGTCAGTTGCGGTTGCGTTGTATGTGTGTTATTGTATGGAAGTAAGAATGCTGTTTAACAGCCTCGCGATTGCCGAGAGAGATAACGACGAATTTATAATCCAATGCCGAGGTTTATAGAAGGTCAATCCTGGAAATTGCTAACTTTTTACTTAGCACCTATTGCAGTTTTTCACTACAGAGTATTATGAATGATAATAGCACAGTGGTATTAAGATATATACAACAAGTAAAGCAGTAAGAAGGCAGTAAGTAAAAGGATAATATCGTGATTTCGACTACAGCTTCAGCTTAATTGGGTTCATTGCCGATTTGAGCTGCCCAGATCAATCCTGTTTACAGTTGATTGCTGTTGGCATTGAACGATAGAAAACTAGCGGTGAGACAGGCGAAACGAAGGAGCCGCATGACGTGCTGGTGAACGCGTTAGCCTCCGGGAAGGTAACAGCGCGTTGATCTCCCACCGCAGACACCTACAGTCCGGACTTTTACAAATATCTCAGCATCATTGGGGTTAGAAACTAGTTATTTCGAATTGAATTCGGCTGTTCTCCTTCGTCTCTTCAGCTATAAAAACCTATCTTATAAGATGCCCATCGACTGTATTTAGTATTATCCTGCATGGAACCAGTGATCTGTGATTTTTTGCCAATACCTACAACAACCACGCCAACATTTCCTGTTTTTTGAAGCATCTGTTGTGCGAACATATGTGAATAAACTTGGGTACTTGGGCTGTGAAATACGTAATCGACGTTTTGAAAATCGGGCAACCGATCCATTCGTTCGCTTAACGATGATAAGCCGTATATACATAAGGTACATAGAAAACACTGTATACCCGAAGTTTTGTGCTGTAGAGAAGGAAAACATCTCGTTTTCCTTAAAAGTTCTGACTTTTTTGCCTTTTAAAAAAATGAGTTGTAATTAGGGTTAACTGGCCAATAAGAGAAATTTATTATGTTTTTAAAGCGATAAGACCAAATGTCTTTAATAACGTCGTCGGGGTCTCAAATCCTCAACCAAAGTAGTTATCGAAAACCATAAAGATATCTTGGCAGCCTCTAAATTTTTATCAGCCAAAAAGTATTTATGTTAGTTTACAGAGCTGTCCGAAGAAGAAATGTGTAAAAATGTACTGAAAATAGGTTTTCTTGAGCAAGTTAGCTGCATTTCATATGTCTTGGTGAAGCAATGGATTGAACACGAAAGATATTGCTAGAAAATAAGCCATTGCATGAAAAAGCTTTGATTTGAACAGTTGAGAGGATGATGTTGCAACTGTGTTAAAGTTATGTGGGCACTTTGCAGTGTTTGCCGTGCTGGCACATTTTCAGAATTACGAGGTGCGCATTGAAGTATGTTGTAGCGCACTTAGGTTGCATAGGTGTAAATAACTTTGTAAACAATCCCTCCGTAGTCATGAAGTATTTTAATCTATTGTCGTAAAAAGCAAAAGTTTAAATTTTGCTTTGTTGCGTCTTCACTCCTTAGTTTGTGCAGTTCACTTAATTTGGAGACTTCTCTGTCTTTATATATCTTTTTCGTTCAGGCTGCGCTCGATCTGCAATCAGGCATCCTTAGTGCGGCAGATGAGACAGACTTCTTAGCAGCGTTTTCATACTTTTACGAAGCATTTAAAGGTTATGATTTCGCTGAGGAGGAAAAACTTGCATTATTATCACTGAAATATATGCTTCTTTGCAAGGTTTGTCTTTCTGTTGATTGACGAGAACAGCCTACGTCGTTCCCGTACTAAAAAATTTCCTTCAGGTTTTCTATTTCTTCAATACGTTCTAGATAATATTGAGTTTTCCAGCTTTTATATTCCTTACATATTTTAGGTAATGATGGACGAACCAGACGACGTTAATAAGCTGCTATCGGGTAAACTCGCTTCGAAATATTCTGGGTCTGACTTAGAAGCGCTAAGGGCCATTGCTGCAGCTGTTAAAGCGAGAAGCCTTGCAGATTTCAATGCGGCATTTGATGCTTACCCACAAGAGCTTCGAGTACGTTATTTTCGTGTTCGCATTTTTTGGTGACTATGGTAAATATTATTAGAACTTCCGTTTCAGAAGGATCCTGTCGTCAGCGAACACTTCAACTCCCTTAGCGAACGCATGCTCGAAAAAGATTTGAATCGTATAATTCTCCCGTATTCAAATGTGGAAATCGATCACATTGCTGCCTGCGTCGGTATGGATCGCGAAAAGGTTAGTGTAAATATGACAACCATGAGATAAAGATTGGAGAATCCCATCAAAATTTGTTAAGGAGGAAGCATGCATTCATACCCTTTACAGTACAGGCCATCAAATACGTATTTCGTAACAATGACCTAAGGGGAAAGAATTTATAGATGCATTAAGTCACAGTATTTTCTTCCACCAAATGTACCACTCTGCAACTTTGGAGGCAGAGACTTTCAGTAGACATAACGCTATTTTAAACACCAATGAGAATGAGCATCGCAGGGCAGCGCTAGCTATTGCGGTACACATAACTCCTGAAGAGAGGTAGGGAATCTGCTTATTTTTTAACTAAGTAAACTTTTTCGAAATGTATTCTGGTAGCAAGGGCAAGTACAATATTGTAATTCCTCATAGTTTTTAGGTTGAGAAAAAATTGTCACAAATGATTCTGGATCAGAAGCTCAGCGGATCATTGGACCAAAACGACGGAACGCTAACAGTTCATGATTCACCATCTCCTGACGTTACCTACGAAATTGCATTGAGCACGATTCATACTTTGGATGAAATAGTTGACGTGTTGTGTGAACGCGCCAAAAAATTGTGGTAGGCCGATGAATGTACAGATCTAATCATTACTTGTCCTGTGAATTTGGTTATTTTCGTTCTCTTTTCTCCAACTTTTGAAACCGGACCATCCACACTACGTACGCAGAAAATCTTTTCTAATGGTCAGCGTTGTATGTGCTTAAACAAAACATGATGCGTTCTTTATCTGCTTTCATATGTTTGTTCCAGTGTAGGAGAAAAAACCTGGCAGCACAGTGCAGTGTTAGACTGATGTTTAGGCACCCCTTTCTCTTCATTTCAGTGTGCCGAATGTGCTTCTTGATTTCTATATATTTCGCTGCCAAAATGCTGTTGTGATTAATGCAGTTCAGTGCAATAAATTCTGTGAATCTTCGAGCTATATATGAACACGTGACGTTTTAGATACCTGGCAGTTACTGGCTTTCGGCATGGTCTTTTGGGGGTAAACATAAAGTGTTTGTCAATGATTAGCAAGGTAGTAGATTGTTGGAAAAGTTTTTCTGAAAATGCAGACAAGTATATTAAAATAAATGGACAAAACTCTCGGCGATGATCAATCATTGTGGAAGTTGCCATGCATCCGACTTCATTAAGCGTCGCTGGAGGTGTCTGAATGCATATTTGGCCTTTACAATGACTCGAGGTGGCCTTCCGATGTATCGAGCCAGTGCCCCAATCCTCCCAGAGAAGTCTGGTGGCTATTACCGACCACGGTGGAATGGAAGCCTTAGTGGGCCATGGAGGCGTGGATCGGTTTCACGTGTGTGTCACAGTGGCGTCTCCAACCACTGCGCCACACTTGAACGGAGTATGTATATTCATGCAAAATATGCAAATGCCCCATATGCACCACATCTGTATGTGAATACATTGCATTTATGTATATTTGTGTGAGTAATCGTGCAATATATACACGTGCACCACTTACAACTTGAGTGTATGTGTTAGCATTATATTTATATATGCGTATATTCATAGATTATATGTATATATATGCACTATATACAACGCGTCTACGTATATTTATTAAATTTATATACCTGCATATGTTCATACACTGTATGCGTATATATATGTGCATTATACATCACGTGTGAATGTGTCTGTGCATATCAGGCCTTTCAATGACTCACGGTGGCCTACAGATGTATCGACCCAGTGCAACTATTCTCCCAGATAAATCTGGTACCAATTTGCCGACCCCAGAAGAATGGAAGGCTTGGTGGGCCATCGATCCGGGGATAAATTCTTCGTGTGTCTTACAGGGCGCCTCGGAACTCCGCGCCACACGCTGCGCTCATAAATATGGTAGTGCATGAAATGTTTCGCTGCTACATTTTCAATGCTAGTTGTATTTTTGGGTACATCGCTCGACTCGGCAGTATAAAGTTGTGCAGAGAATGTTGTAAATTGCTAAATTGTCAAGAAAATATCTTCAGTAGTGTTGAAGTAAGTGACTTCGGGAGCACGAAATGGCTACAGCTGGCAACATAAAACGATTCAAATAATCCAATTTCATGAGAAAGGGCTTAAGACCAGATCGTTTTTGTGTGGTAGAAGTGAGTTCGTTTCAAAATCCCACTCATATAGCATCGAATTCTCACATACTTGAAATAATTTCCAGTTGCCTTAAGTCACTACGTAAGTGGTCACCCCATTGCTATTTTAAATCGAAGGCTTTTTGTCTCGTTTATGTAGTGGTTATTTTTTGTAACAACAGAAAATTCGCCTTCGAGACATGAACGCACCGCTTTGTCTCGTGTGTTCACTTTAACGAGGTGTTGAAGATTTTGTTTTCCAGAAGCATCCTTCGAGTGACGTCGGCTGTCTTCCTGGCCTATCTGGCTGAGTGTGACCACGGTGCTAGTGGATTGCTCGCTTCTCTGACGTCTACTCATTGAGCCTTATTTGTAGAACAGTGTCAAATCGATTGAAAATTAAAAGCTAAATAAAGAAGGGCTATAAAGTGCTTCATGTGTGTTTTAATTGTAGAGATGGATGTAATACAATGTTACCGACGTCTGTGGAATTAAGTAGTTCGCTGCTCCGTCTACAGAGATTAGCTAACGATCGTGTTCTATTGTGGCGTATTACGCTGCGATTCGTTCAATTAAGACGTATTGCTTTCATCATATCTTTATTAGAGATAGAACAATGATTTGCTCTCAAACATCTCACCTCTACTATTTTGCACTTTGTTGAAGAAACTGTTATTCATTTTACTTCTGGGAAACTCGAATACAACTTCTATGTTGGCACCTGCACAAAGTTACAGTGCCATTCATCAGTTCGAACTATCTTTAAATTTTATTTTTATTGATTTTTCTCATTTAATAGTGGATATTTTATTTGCATGATAATGTTTTGTTATCACATGTACATTTGTTTATTTGTTTTTCTACTGTTAAATGAAAAGTGCACCACAATATGAGTCTTAGAACTTCTTTCCTCGTTTCCTCACCTCCACAGTCCTCGAATCCTTGTCTTCGCATATAGTCCGGCTGCCCATAAAGGATTTTTCGTCTTCGTCACGAATGCCCTGCGATCGAGTCGATTCTTTTTGAACCTGAGATAGCCATGCTGAGCGTTCTCACATCAATAAGATGGAATTACTTGGATGCTTGAATGCGCCATCCTCACAGGTTGTGCAGCCCCAGCGTAATCTCCATTTTCTCGGTGTTTGCTGGTTTAAACACAGGAGCTCCCAGGTATCTCGAGATCAGCCAAACCAGCCCCAGGTCTTCACAACCAAAAGCAGTTTCCGCCTTGCGGATCAGAGAAAAAATTGCCATCGTGCGACTAGTGTGATACCAGTAGGGTGGTGGATCCTGCTATTAGTATACTCCTAGCTGGGCTTCTTTATGGGAACGCTGGACTCCTCTGCTTGGAAGACTTTGCTAAGGGGATTAATCCACCAGCTGTACATCGCAGTCCAACACCCAGAAAGACCTCCCATCCATAATGAGACGGTAAAGCGTTAAGCGAAAAATGGTTGGAATTATGTCCTCCCAAACAAGTCTGGTACAAGTTCCCTAACCCGGAGTGACGAGAGATTTCATGAGTTCGGTGCAGAGTCGAATTAGCTCGTGGGCAGGTGAACCGTCTGTGTCATAAACGGGATCACTAACATTACACTACCGCCTTCTTTCATATATGAATGTAATCTATGAATAATTTCGGAAGTCCTTCATTTGTCTTTCTTTTCCAGTTTGTTTCAAATTTGCTAACTAATAACTCTGAGTGCTTGTGATTAAACGGAAAACAGTGCAAAGCAGCCTAGAAATATTATCACGATTTACTTTTC